AAGAATGGAATGATTTCGATGAATCGCATGAGTGACCTCAACTCGAGTTTTATACTAGAAGTAATAGCAAGACGTCTACCTACTCGACTGCAAAGGAAGTGGGTGAAGATAAGCTCCCGTATGGAGGATGAGGGTATCGAGCCAAAGTTTGATGATATCCTGAAACTGGTAAAAGATAGTGTCAATCAATCTATGAGCAAGTTTTCCAGTCTATTATATCTCACCCCTAGAATAGAGCAGTCTGAGGGTAAAACGCAATCATTGATGACGAATAAGCCTCAGAGAGGTGGATATCGAGAAGGCTCCATGATGTCTAGTAATGCATATAGACCTAGTGAGTGTAACAGGTTTCGTAGTACATCCTCAACAGATAAGTTACAAGATGCAAGACAAACACGGTTTGTTTTACACGTGTGCAAGAGGTGCATACAGAAGTGAACTGTGAACCAGTGAGCAAGTTCAGTGATAAGCTAAATGTAAACTCCAGGCCTGACTCCGAATTGTGTGACGATAACGGTGTTGTGAAGAAGTCTGTAGTTGCAACTGGTAAGCCGTTGTTGAATAGAGTGTCACAGAATAGAGTTACTGCTTCAGAGTGCAGTTCTGACCCTACAAGTTTACAAGGTATTACTAGTCAGAGTGAAGTTATAAAACCTTTTATGATTTGTGAGGAGGAACCAAAATTGTCTACTTCTGTTATTAAAGAGTTTGAAAATGATGAAGTTGACGGTAAAGTGAATATTCGTGATAATGATCATGATACTTCACAGTTGTCTTTGGTTGATCATGATGAGATGAGGGATATGCCTACTACTGCTAAGTTAAATAAAGGTTCTGTACAACTACAACGTGAAGTAGAATTGAACGCAGATGCAGTTCCAGAAGGTGTGCATACTTGTGAGACAGTCAGTGTAATTGATCAGCATGTAGCCCACCTATCATCAGATGCTAGTGCTAAACCTGAGCTGATAGTAAAAGACAGCAGTGGTGGTGGTCTTGCAGGTAGACAAACTTCTGAAAGCCGAGCAACAACAGCTTTTGATCCACCGCTAACTTCATCAACTGATATCAATCAGTCGTCGTTGGTGCTGTCATCCACAATGAAAAAGACGCCCATCAACTCAAGTATCTTGTGCAATGACTATGCTAGTATCAGTTCGTTTGAAAGGACGAATATCAATGGTCAGTTTAGTGAGGATAAGCCAAGTGTAAACGAGAGAGTAATTGTTAAATTGACTTGCACGAATAAAGGCATTTCTAGTTTCAAGTTACTATTTGAATGTTATTATCTTTGGTGTAAATTACTCTGTTTCTACACTTGGTTGATGAGATATGTCGTGTGTTTGTTGGTCATCTATATTCTACGATACAATGACATGGGCGTGTTGCCGTTCAGATTTGAGGATATAGCTGATAGAAGGAAGTTAGCAAATGAACTCTGCGACGATTTTCCAACCTAGAGCGTCAACCTGAGAAGGGTTGTAGGCGTACTGCTGTAAGTCCTACAATTCTTCAAAGGGTAGCGCATCAATGAGCAGTCCAATGTGCTTGGTGTATGATTTGTACATATGTTCATATTGTATATACTGAATTGATATCATCTGTCATCTAGCTGTTGGTAATTCTGTTTGTGTCCGGACGACTTCCACTTGGATCATCAACCTGAGAAGGAATGTAGGCGTACTGCTGTAAGTCCTACAGTTCTTCAAGGGTAGTTTGTCATGGCCGAATCCACAACATTTGATGTGTTGATTGTACATATGTTTGTGTTAAATAATTGTGTGAGTTCCAATTAATGTAATTGTTGGTTAATCTTGTTTGTGTCCGGACATTCCACAAATTACAATCGTCAACCTGAGAAGGGTTGTAGGCGTACTGGTGTAAGTCCTGCAATTCTTCAAAGGAATTCCACCAAGACATGATCGGCGAGGTTGTTTGTACTATTTGTATATACGTGTGGTGTGTCATAGCAATTGGTGTATTTTGGATTCATTGTGTTTACTTGTTGTTTTCGTATCTTGTTGTTATTGCGTAATTTTGTTAAAATTTTCGTCGTGATTACTTCTGAAGTTGTTTCGAGTCTTCTACATCCATGAATGAATTGATTGATGTTAAGGACAGCAGATGGGTCGTATACGCCGGGGAGGCTAGGCTATTGCTGAGAATGAAATGCACACGGAGATAATTGTTAGCTGCGGTCCGACACGCCGGGGAGAAAGAGTGTAAACGACTGAGGCTCGCATGCGTCACCGCTACTAGAACTGAGGCAGAATGAGTGACAAGCGATTTCAGTGGTAATTGGTAGTGAGTAGATAAGAGGATGTGCGTAGAGTATCATGAGTTGGTGCTATGGTCACGTTGCATTCTGCAAGAGTCATTCTAGCAAGTGGCGATTGTGTTGCAAGATGTCAAGAGGAGGTCTCTGTCTGGAGGCGCAGGTCGTCAGCGATGTGTGAGATTGTGCTGTGGGTATGCTTGTGGTGTGTTGGCTTTTCTGTTTGTTTTCCATTTCAGCTCTGTCCGTGTGACCCAGGTTCTCGCAATGGCATCCAAGTCAACGTGCATTGGTCGTGAAGGAAAAAAGGGTTGGATCCCTTTTTTGCCGGGGAGTGTCAATGGAGTTGAAGATTGAACGATCAATTCTTGGTTGTTTGCTCAAAATCAACTTCCCCAATTTTCGCGGAGGCATCAATACGACAGTCATCGTCTCATCGGTCGCTGTTCAGAAAGAAGAGTGAAACATCGTCAGAAGTAATATTATGATTTATTATTGTAATATTTGTTTTCAGACCTTAGTTCAGTTATTCTTTTTATATGTTGGTGTAACAATAAAGAAATATCAAGCGGCAGATCGGTGTTTTGGTTTTTCGTCCGTTATAACTAAGCGTTTCTGAAATCTTCAAAGAACAGCGTGGGCCCGAGCGTAGCGAGAGCTGGGCATTAACGGTTTATGAGACGTGATTGACACCTGGGAAGTCCCCAGGTTGTGATGACATCAGGCCATCTGTTCTGAAACAGTGCGCCGAGGCTTCTTAGACCCCTGTGCGACTTGTTCCAACACTCAATGGATTCGGGGACCTGCCAGGGAGTGGAAAGAGCCATCCTTTCTCCAATCTTCAAGGTGGGGACAGGCAAAACGCCTAGTATAGACCAGTGCTCTACTCCCAGTGGTTCAAAAGTACTGGAAAGTATTACTGACGACCACATCAGGGAATATTTCGGTAGGTCTAATATACTCCATGAAGCCCAACATGGTTTCAGAAAAGGCAGGTCCTGCGTCACTAACCTACTGTCAGCTTGGACGACTGGACATCATGCTGGGATACGAATGTACCAGTCCATGTGGTCTTCCTAGACTTTGAGAAGGCATTTGACACTGTTCACCATGACCTTCTCCTACATAAAATAAGCCAGGCAGGCATAGGTGAGCCACTTCTGTCATGGTTGAATGACTACCTAGCCGACGGGCAATTTTGCACTAAGGTTAACCGCGTCCGATCATCTTGGCACAGATCGTCATCAGGAGTGTCGCAGGGTTCTATCCTAGGACCACTGATGTTTTTGATTTTCAGCAATGATCTACCATGCCGTCTGAGCTGCCCGACTCTCCTGTACGCTGACGACGTAAAAATATGGAGGGCGATAAAGTGTCTGGAGGACTCAGATAGGCTACAGGAAGACCTAAACCTTCTGGAAGACTGGGCGGTGGCCAGTGGCATGACTTTCAACTTGAAAAAGTGCAAAGTAGTGAAGTTGCTCACCTGTAGACTGCAGAATGCGAGTTACACCCTGTGCAATGAAAGCTTGTCCTGCACAACGTCGGAATGCGACTTAGGTCTAGTTCTAACGGAAAAAATGGATACAAGCATAAATTACACAGGGGATGTAGCGATGGCATATGTGGTCATACACTTTACGCATAGACAGTTATGTGCACTCACTCCTGAGTTCTTTCTAATGTTGTACAAAACATACGTCAGGCCACACCTTGAGGTGCATAATATTATTGCACCCCCAATGCTGAGAAGAGACGCCAACCTATTGGAAAGAGTCCAACGACGGGCAACAAAAGGAGTGGTTGGTCTCCAAAACAAACCACGTGATGAAAAACTGAAGAAATTAGGCCTGTTCACACTTAGTTACCGTCGGCTTAGGGGGATTTGATTACTGCCTACAAAATAACAAATGACCAGAATCACCCAAACAAAGGTGTTCCGCCATTGAGTATGTACAGGCTTCCACGTGGAAATCCGGAATGATAGCTCACCAGAGGGCAAGGACCCGGGTGCCTCCCACTTCTTTTCACTGCGGGTTTGCCGTCCCTGGAATTCCTTGCCGGCAGATGTAGCTATGACACCGTCTTTGGACGCCTTTAAGTGAAGGCTGGACAACCATGCAGCGATACAAGGACTGCATCCAAATGGCCTATCTCCTTAAAATCGCATATACCAATCAGGGTAGATAATTAAACTCGTCATTTTACTTCTCTACATTCTCTCCCGTCTTACTCTCCTGACAACTTATTAATATTATAATTACTTTATTATTATTACTATTACCGATATATATTATTCTTCAAACTTAGTGAGCTGACTGTTGTTACGTCTCCTATTTTCGTTTCTGTCTCTTAGTCTGAATAACTTCACTAATTATATCTATTATTATTACTATTATTATTACTATCTCTTTTCTCTTGTCGACGATACCGAAGGACTAACTGGCGAAAGGATCGACTCCAGTCACAGTAGTAACAGTCTTAACATACCTCATACTACAAATTAATCCAGCACTACTCCCTTTGGAGTCAACCAAAGCTACGACAGTCGAGTGGCGGGACAAGCTACGCAGAAGTTTACCGAAGATCAGGAACCTATACCTTACAATCAATAAGCGAGCACAAAGAAATCAAATTGGTTTATACTAGCTCGTAAAAACGATATTGGATATTGGAACGGCGGACAGATTAAGACATTTGCTACGTGTTACGAAACTTGTATCTGATGGTCGATGAAGCTACTAAAAAGACTCTTGCTGCCATACCACTCCTTAAAACCAAAGCTGGTCCATTAGATGGAGAAATGTGGGTTCAAAGATTAAAAGAGGAGTACCAAGCCCTGATAAAGTATGTTGAAAATAACAAGGCAGCGGACAACGACTGGTTTCGAATTGAGTCAAATCAAAATGGAACCAGGTGGTATGGAAAATGTTGGTAAGTTTCTTCGTCATGTAAATTGTATTCGTAGGTATATAAGTGACATGAAAAAATATGAATTCGATCTCAATTTTGATATACCTGTCTCCTACCCAAGTACAAATCCGGAACTTGCTTTACCAGAACTCGATGGGAAGACGGCAAAAATGTACAGAGGAGGCAAAATATGCCTTACAGATCATTTCAAGCCTTTGTGGTCTAGGAATGTCCCAAAATTCGGCATTGCTCACGCAATTGCACTCGGTTTGGGTCCTTGGCTAGCAGTGGAGATACCTGATCTAATATCAAAGGGAATAGTTAAATACAGAGATGATGAGTAATATGAACTCTTATACTTGATGTAAAGCTTACCAAGTGGTTTGTTGCAAAGCGGAATTACTAAGCAGTATGCGTCTTTTTACCTATTCGTGAATAATAGGGAAAGGCGGTGTTTACTTACATCATTAAATAATAAGCTTATTTAGCGGTAAAAGTAATCTAAATAGTTTTATCTTTGAATATTGACTAATTTATGAAAGTAATGCTGGAGTTGAGTAACATGCTTAAAAACCGAACGTCCGGCTCGATAATTTCTGTGATAATAGGGGCTTCAGACCTTAAAAAGTACTCACGTCCAGTAACTATTTCTTACTTTATGTCTGTTTATTCATTTCGAAAGGTGATAAATCCTTGGTCTCAATAGTTATGAGAAGTGAAGTGCATCGCAACTTCAATTGGTGTCCGTCTGTGCATTTGTGGTTTTCACAGACAGTCTCGAAACAGGTCTAGAGGAAAGTTTCATAGGGAAGATGTAATTACTCTTCATTGCTGAAGAAATCTATTTTGAAATCAGCTTCAGTCGTTAGGGAATTGGTGGCACATCAGATAAGTCCCATACGCTACGCTTAGTTCCTTATTATTTCCACTGTATCTGCCAGATCACGAGGTAATCAGATATTTATGAAAAGACACTTGCGGCTTAACACTTTCTCCGTGTTCATTAAGTCAAAACTTTAGTTTCTTTTTTCATAACAATATCGCTTTTATTACGTACTTTCAATGGCTGTAGACATTTTGTGTCGTTCGCATCGGTTGAATTTTGTGGCTGACTAGTTCAACATATGACCCCACACACAGGTGTAGCAGTTCTATTTGCCTAGCTCCATGTAGTGCACTAGCTAACACAAGAGTGATTCGAAGGGACTACAATAAGCAAAATTGCAGGGAAGAACTATAGTAACACGGCAAAACTATAGGATTTTATAGACGTGGAAGGTCACAAAGAATGAATGCATTTGCGACGATTTCGATTACTTTACTTCGACTATCTCCTACGGGAGGATGAGCCGGCTTCATGAACGTCTCGAATCATCGCTGCCCAGGCGCGGTAATTTGTAAGAGAGTTCATGAAGTTTCATGGGAATTTGGTACGAGTGATGTCCCCAGCATCGCTCGGCCTTTTGTTTGAGAGTGCAGCTCTAGCCTTCACACAGCCAAGTGTGACCTACAAGGCAGTAGGAGTGGAGTAAGGAGTCCACTATCCATTGGCAGCCGGTGACCGGAGTTCGGTTCATACGCCTTTTTGAATGGGGCCAGACATCCAGGACATCCAACAAGCCCTTTGTCCATACGTCTGCCGGTGAGCTCCAGTGAGCTTCATACGCCAGTCGTTGGAGGTTTGGAATCAGGGTTTAGCCATCTCCCCTAGACCGTCATCCAATGGACAGTCAACCCGGTGGAGAGCGCCGGGCATCCGCTTTCGCCCTCTCACTTTGGTGAGAAACACCTCCGCCACGTGAAGGCAGTGAGTAGGACTTCCTCAGAGAGGCTATGTAAGACGCCGGTCATATGGGAGCATTTCAAGAGGTGTGCGGAGGGTGGCCAACCCGCAGCGCAAGACACCCACCCGACCATCCGCTACCTCAGTATCACACACCCTATCATACCATCTAAAACGGGAAATAAAACACACACCTATGATGAAATATAGCCAGCTTTCTCATGTTTTTCACTTTCAATGGTCATGTCTCACAGCCATTAACGAGGATGGAACGAACCACTGAACAGTACTCACATCATTTGGTGAACTGCTGGATATCACGTGAATGGCAATTGTTACACAAGCCTTTTGTATCCGTGCTACGATTTCGTCAGCAATCAGTCGATTGGGACTGACGCAACTTCCTGATTAAGTGAAGTGACCGACATACTCGACCACTTCACTTCGTATCTTTAATCTAGTGGTGTTTATAGTCTAGTCCTTTAGCACCATCTTACATTTGACAGGAGCAAATCGCATTCGGTCGACGGAGTAGGATGCCACTTTAAGGTCAAGAAATATGACGGATGTTGGGTGACAGTAAGTATGCCAATGTTCCAGATTCTGTAGAAGAGTGAAGATATAGTCAATACACCCTTTTCCTTGTTTAAACCCTGCCCAGTTTCTTCTTGTTTGTTCCTTTCAAGCACCACTTAGTCTACGCATGATTGTTGAGCCTAGAACTTCAGATACCATATCAGTCAAGCTAATCTCCCTGTGATTATCACAGGAAGACTTGTCTCCCTTCTTGTATATGTGGATAATCAATGACTTACACCAACCCGACGGGACTTCTTCTGATTCCCAGACGCTACCTAGTATCTCAGTTAATGCAGACAGTAAACTGTCTCCACCGTACTTAAATACCTCTGGAGTCATTCCATCAGGTCTCGCTTCTTTGCCTTGTTTCAGATTAGTGACTGCTTTAATAACCTCATTTAAGGAAGGAGGACCTGTGTCTATATCCCAGGGAGGTGTTGGATATTCGGCAGGTTGAGCGTGGCTGTAGGCCAATTGAACTGCTGCTCATAGTGTTCTTTCCAGTCGTTTATCGTGGGAGCTAATTATGGTGCCATTTTTCTCCGAGATTGTTTCACTAATGATTTGCCTTTTCCCACCCGTTTCCCTGATGAGTCTAAAGAGTTGCCTATCGCCGATGCATTTTCCATCTCTTTCGCCTTTGTCACCCACCACAGTTCACGGTCGTTTCGAAGACTTCTTGTTAGTTTGTGTTTGAGTACCTTTGGCTCCTCACCATATTCGGAGCTCGCTGGAATCAGTCTTCTTGCCTTAATGAGTTCAGGTGAGATGGTAGTAACCCACTGGCTTTTGGTTATAGGTTATTAACAGCTGTGTCTACAGCTAATTGCATCTTGTACGAGGCTTCCTCGGGAAGAGTCTTGTCGTCGACCTCAGATACTCGTCTCGCTATTTCTTCCTGAAATAGGGACTCATTGTCTTGATTAAGTCGGGCGCGTAACCGCTTGTCCGCCAAGTTTTTTTATATCCGTTTAAACGTAAGCATAAAAGAGCGCTAACCAGGGCGTGATCCGAGCCTACGCGTGTATTCAAGAAGGAGCGGAAGTTTCCTAAAGACATTCACCAGTCGTTATGTGGTCTATTCGAGTCCAACATTGATTTGGTGATGGAGGTCGCCAGGTTACGCAATGTCTCTTTGTGCCTGAGGTTAGTGCTGACTTGGAATAGAACCGTAAATGACCACTTGTCGGCTCCCAACACACTTCTCAGAGTGATACTTCTCCACTTGAACATTGGAGTTACCTGCTAAGATGACTACTCCTGAGCGCAGCAAACTAGAGTTTTCGACAGAACTCATCATTTATCCCTCTCGAACAGCAGTTGGTCAGGATGTAGACAGAGATCATGACAAGACACCAACGGGTAGGGCAGTACTTCATAGTGAAACTCTATGATGTCCTATTTTTGTTGTTATCTAGGATTCCGTCTTTGACTAAATTCAAGTCAGTAGTGATGCAACAGAGGCACTGTATGTGTAAACTACGTTAGTTAAACTTATCATCAAAAATTACCTATGCTTCGGTAAAGCCGTAGCACAAGTAGGCTTCAACCTCATCATGAAAACCGCCAGCAGAATCCTCCTGAGTAGCTGAATCATGAGTACACCTTACTTAATAGAGTGTAGTCAGCTTGGGAAACCAAAACTTGTACGCATGATTATTAGAGGAAAACATCTTCTAGACAGAAATATCTAAAAGCGGTGTACGTGCTACTTCCAATCTAGTGTAGCTGGTAGTCCTTACATGTTTACAGAATTATTAAGTAGGCCGAGCTCAGCAATGTCTATGTATGGGTAGTGAGACTTTTAAAATACCAACATGCTGTACCTCTGCAAGACTAGTGGATCACAGCTTCTAATCTTTTCAGCTGACTAAGTTTTAGCAGTTCTTACACCATACATACCGCAAGATCGATTGACAGACGATTGTAAGGGGTAGCGATTAAACGTGCTAACTACTTTTCAAAATGTGAGCTCTGACCGTAAATGGTAATAAATCATGCTACAGGGTTGTTATACTGATAAAGCACCTGTTTGAAACCGCTAGACTTGCAGACTGATTTTGCCTGGATCAATTATATGCTTAACAGACGATAACTTTACGTCCAAACTCCTGTATGGGACTATTCACTGCTCGAAAGGTATCTTAGCCTTCATGAACTCTTCAATTACAGGTAGTACGTTCCGAAAACACATTCCTCGTCCTAACAATAGGTCCTAAGTAGGTTTGATGCATTCACTATATTTGAATCTACTTATTACCATAATGCAGAGAGCTTCTCGTATTGCAGCTGTGTTTGCCATAATTTACATCACATTTCTTATGTTATTTTACTTAGTGCATTTTTCAGGTCGACGCAACATGTCACTGATGACTCTTAATTATGTATAACACTACAGCTTACTCATCAGTGTTATAACTGCTGGAGAAAAAAGAATCATTCGAATTTGTTGCGAAGGTATATGCTTTGTATACTGTTCCGTAAACATTATTTAATAGTTTTGCACAGCAATTTGTGAGCGTGATATAACTTTCTGCTACGTTGAGTACATGCCTACAGGAAAGTGCAGGTTATATACGTGTAAGTGTGCTGTTTAGCTCAAAGTTCACTGCAGCTCAGGATTTCTTAGTATTTAATCCTTCTATTAATTTTGTCTGTATAGGTGTCAGGTAAAATGAAAGGAAAGAGTTATTTCCTCCAAATAAATGAAATGGTGTTGTAGGATAAATAGTCCAGAACAGAACAGACAGCTGTACCGAAGTGATCACGGTTGATTAGATCTTTGAATCGACAGTTCTGTTTAACACTGGGGAAGAACCACGATTATGGTTCTACCGGTTAAGACTGAACTGCTTTGTATTAATAGCATCAATAACGGTGACCTCTCCTTGCAAATAGTTATTTTGCATACACCTAAGTAGTTGATATCTAGTAATGCAAAAATAGTCATACTGATTGGACCCTGGCATCACGAGCCATTGATTATGCTGTGTTTCAGAAACACGCATACAAGACCCAATGTGGTTATTCACCTAACCCCACCTGCCAACAGGTATCCAAAATTCACCTGAGGGTGTCAGGAGATGCCACAGCTAGTTCACGAGGATTAGCTGGCGTAGGGATAGCTTTGAGTACTAGGGCAGAAAAGACATTGCTTGACTGGATCCCGGTAGATAGCCGAATGTGTGCTGTCCGCCTGAACGGATCAGTAAGAAGGAGGAAGGACTGCACTACTCGCCGATGCCTTTTCGTAATCTCCGCCTACGCCCCCACTGACTGCAGTTCAGATGAAACGAAGGATGAGTTCTACCAAAAGCTGTCTAGTTTGGTGGAAAGGCTAAACGCTCAGACATAGTCGTTCTAGCTGGTGACTTTAACGCTCAAGTAGGGAAATTGTGTCAATCTGAGAAGGATGTCGGTGGCACCTATGGAGTTCCGTGCCAGCGAACCGACAACGGTGACCGTCTCCTACAGTTCTGCTCTGATAATCATTTGTTTCTTGTAAGCACTAACTTTAAACACAAGGAGAGACACTGTTTGACTTGGAGACCCCCTTCATCAAACCAACGCTGGACACAAATAGACCACATAGCAATAAGCTATCGTTGGCGTGGGTCGGTAGGAGATTGTCGCTCCTTCTGGAACACGTGCGTAGATACCGACCATGCACTGGTCCGCGCTCGGGTGTGCTTACGACTGAACGGACGTAGGAAACAGCTGGCGGTAAAACCATCACGTCCCCAGCTCGATCAGGAAACTAAATCCGTATTTCAGGAAGAACTAGCTAAACACATATCTGTGTTCGACAGCTGTGCTCACCCTGAAGAAGCTTGGAAAAATATCCAGGCAGCCATAGATACAGCTGTAAAAGCTGTGAATAAGGTAAACCCAAAGGTGAGTAAAAACCACTGGATCTCCACCGCCTCATCCGAACTGATAGATGCTAGAAGACTTATTCCGGCGAGCTCCGAATTCAATGAGGAGCGAAAGCTGCACAAGAGGAAACTTACGAAAAGTCTCCGCAAGGACCGTGAACAGTGGTGGGCGACAAAAGCCAAAGAGATGGAGAAAGCTTGAGGATAGGCAACACCAGGCAACTCTTTGGACTCATCAGGGAAACGGGTGGGAGAAGACAAATCATTAGTGAGACAATCTCGGAAAAAAATGGCACTATAATTAGCTCACAGGATAGACGACTGGATCGTTGGAAAGAGCATTATGAGGAGCAGTTTAATTTGCCCACAGCCACGCTCAACCTTCCGAGCATCCAACACCTCCCTGAATGGGATATAGACACAGGTCCTCCGTCACTAACTGAGGTTACTAAAGCTGTCACCAATCTGAAACTAGGCAAAGCAGCGGGACCTGATGGAATGACTCCAGAGGTATTTAAGTACGGTGGAGACAGCTTACTGTCCGGATTAACTGAGGTACTAGGCAGCGTCTGGGAATCAGAAGAAGTCCCATCGGGTTGGTGTAAGTCACTGATTATCCCCATATACAAGAAGGGAGACAAGTCTTCCTGTGATAATCACAGAGGGATTAGCTTGACTAATATAGTATCTAAAGTCTTAGGCTCAATAATCATGCGTAGACTGAGTGGTGCTCGGGAAGCACAAACACGAGAGAGCCAGGCAGGCTTTAGACCAGGAAGAGGGTGTATTGATCATATCTTCACCCTCCGACAGATTCTAGAACATAGGCATTCCTACCGGCGTCCAACAGTCATTATATTTCTTGACCTAAAGGCAGCATTCGACTCTGTCGATCGGGAAGTTCTCTGGAGATGCTTGGCTGTAAAGGGAATTCCAAGAAAATATATTGCACTGATTAAGGCACTCTACTCGTACTCATACAGCCAGGTGAGGGCTTACGGCGAGCTGTCATCTGAACTGATGACGACCAGTGGTGTCCGTCAAGGATGCCCATTATCTCCTTTTCTATTCAACTTCATCATAGATGTGTTAATGGACTTAACCCTAGGTGACTTCAGCGACTCAGGGATTGACTTGCTACCGGGGAATAATCTCGTTGACTTGGAATATGCAGACGATATAGTCCTTCTAGGCGAAGACGCTGACGAAATGCAGAGTCTTCTAAACACCTTGAGCTGCAATCTACGAATGTTTGGCATGCGATTCGCTCCCGCCAAATGCAAGATGATGTTACAGGACTGGACTACATCGACGCCTAGTTTAAAAATAGGAAGTGAAGTGGTAGAGCACGTTGACCGCTTCACTTATTTGGGAAGTACCATCAGCCCCAACGGGCTGATCTCTGACGAAATCTCAGCACGAATACAAGGGGCTCGTTTCGCATTTGTTAGTTTACGCCGACTCTGGCGTAGACGAGATGTTCGACTATCGACCAAAGGGCGGGTGTACTGCTCATCAGTCCGCTCCGTCCTCCTTTATGGTTGTGAGACCTGGCCACTGAGAGTGGAAGACATGAAAAGACTAGCTGTCTTTGATCATAGGTGCCTGCGTTCTATTTCCCGTGTAAAGTGGCATAATAAGGTGAGCAACATGGAGGTTAGGCGTAGAGTTCTAGGTAAACAGGGGAAATCAATCGACGAAGTCGTGAAGCTACAAAGACTGAGATGGTTAGGACATGTGTTACGTATGCCAAGCCATCGCCTCCCTCGACGAGCAATGTTAGCGGATATAGGGTCAGGCTGGAAAAAAGCTAGCGGCGGTCAAACAAAAACTTGGCATCAGTCAATGAAATCCACAACAGTTGGTCTAAGCCACGTAGGAAGGTGTAGACTTCCAGGCTGGGGTCCTCGGGACGGTAAAAATCTATGGTTGGAAACAATTGGTGACATGGCTCAAAATCGTTCTCAGTGGCGCAGATGCATCCACTCCCTGTGACTTATGATCTTCAATGAAACTGTTTTGTATTTCTTTATTACTCCTTTGTCTCACACCTCTGCTCACTGTTTCTATTATGCTTTTCTTGTACTTTCTTCTCTTGCTTCGCGTGCTACACGGAATGTGGCGACTTGAACTTCCGCACATTTGTGCAAAGTTCTATGTCGAAAACAGACAGATTGTTAAGTCTCTTTTTTCTCAATCTTCTTTTTATTCGCTATCCTTGTATCTTGACGGTATTATACTGATTATATTAATATTGGAGGTATGTTTCGTCTACGTTTCATTTGAATCATTACCGTTAAAATTGTCATGCTAACATCCTGCAATATTTTTATTGGTCGCAGTATGATTGCGCAGTTTTAGTCTTTGATCGTGATTTGGGTTTGATATGCCCTTATTGCTCATCACTGTTGTTCGAAAATGTTTTTTTACAGCAATAAGCCTTACTGATCCACATTTATGCTTTTACCAGTCATTGTTATCTGGAATTACAGTGTTGTGCATAAAACAAATCATGCGTTTGAGTTCCACAAATCACTCGGTGGTTGGCTTGATTTATCGACGAGTCCTTTGGTATAATGAGGAATAGTATATACAATGATTAACCCCTGAAAATTATTTTGCTTCAGTACAACTTTTAGTGCCTGACAAAGACATCGATAAGGATGAACTTGAATGGAAATTTTCTTTCATCGAACTCAATCCATTGATTCATAGGAAATTGTTTCGGTACTCAGTACTTTATGTTGAAAGATTATTATCACAAAGAAGGTGAGCTGTTGAATAACTCAAGAAAGGTGACATGAATAATTTGACTTGTGACACTAAGGAAATGGCATTTTATTATAGCATTCTAGAATCAGTTCTGTTATGCAGAGTGAGTACTATTCATAGTGGAACTGTACAGACTGTTTAAAACGGTTGTAAGAGACTTGCGATCCTGTTATCGTATTCCGAACTTAGAAATTACTAGATAAAAAATTATCTAACGTACAATGGCGAGTTGTGCAACCAGAAATAATATTCACTTAGCGATAAAATAATTATCTAAGATAATCCATGATACCGTAAAGCTTCAGAATTCTCAACAATTAAGTGTGCGTGGTGCTTTGAAAAAATAAATGCTGGTTATACTTTTAAATATTTACAAGTATATACATTATTACTGCATGATAGTACCAACAGTTGTAGCATCTACTTCATTAACAATTAACTTTACTTCCTCGATAGTTGCTTTTCTTGATATCAGTTGCTTTTTATATACTTCAATTGCTTCAGTTACCTTCCTGTTTAGTTCTTGAATGGAATACAGGGCTTGACGTTTCGTTTCTTTAAAGTCCGTTTCATGTGGAATTGTTGGTATATTTGGAGGAATTTGAGATCTGCTCATTAACGCACGATAAAAGGTTGGGGAAGGGTCAACAAACACCATTTCATCGTAAATTTCTCGAACCAAACTCCTATGACCCATCATTATTTCATGATCACAATGAAATAATTTAATAAGATGAGTTATTACTAAGGGTTTTTCATTTGGATCAGTAAATATGACTTTGATTGTTATATCGAATTCTCCCCATCCTGTTTCCGTTAGTTCAAAAGGGGGTTTATTAACAATTCGAATAGGATTCGAATAACTTTCATGCAGTTTGAAGTGCACTTTTTTAATGAATGTTGATAAGTCTTCATTATTGTTGTAAGGACGAAGAAACGCAGTCCATTGGTGTGTTCTTCCATCTTCTTCGCGCTTTTTACCTAGATAGCGTGAAACGTTTCCGTAAACTATAGGCTTGACAACTATTGTTTTCAAATTTCCTACATCTTCTGACATCTAAAAAATAATTCAATACCTAGAGTGGATTAGAATGAAAAGGAATAAGTATAAACGCAGGCACAACAGAATTTAATTCACCTTAGATTCATATAAAAGCTAGGCTACTTTATCACTCACGTCTCGGTAAACTCCAATATCGTTGAACTCCACATCTTAAACCGCGTTAATACAATCAAAACTCTATCACTTTGAGATGAGACTGCTTATAACCAGAAAAGAAGACTTACGGAATAGCCTTGTGTTGTGGAACCTCGTAAAGCGAAATAGAATGGATAAAGCAAGTAACGAAATGGGACATATAGTTAGTACCAGATCAAGCTGCAGTAGTCATTTGAGTGGATTCTTTCAGGAAGTTGGGTCATGACGGAGCTACAGAATTCTTTGATTTCCTCGAAAACGAACTTAATTTGAACATTTACATCGTCAACATAAAAACACTACATTAAACTGGGGATTGGCTATAGTTTTAATGGCCCAAGGCAAATCAAAATTGGTTGTTATGTTTTGCATTCAAATTGCAAACACAGTAAATGCATATTACTACTACAAATATCTTATTCATAAATATCAGTCACTACACTCGTTGTCCAAGGTCATATTGAATTGAGACACTGGATTTTAAGTTCGCCTTGATTTTTAACTTCTGATTTTGGTCGCCATGCCTCAGCTGTAAAGTTCATCAAGAAAGACTCTGCTTAGTACAATCGTCTTTTGACAGATATCCGGATACTACACCGGTTTCAAATGTAACTCACGTTAACTTAAAACAAACCAACTTTTCTCACTTCATTAATAACCAATCTATCAGGGTTGATATAACTTAACAAATAAGTAACAGTCAATGCATCCGAACATTTTACCGCCTCTTCCTCTAAACTACGTGGTTTTGAAGATGTGACGCCCTGGCATTCGGTCAATGGACCCCTAGTTCAAATCCCACTTTAACTTAAACTACACCCAGTAGGTAGTGTTACCAGCCTTCACCGTACACAAGAAATCTGTTCTGGAAAACTGAATTTAAACTAACTCTCCATTACCAACTTTTTTAAGAATCACATATCTGTTACTAGTGTGTCATTCTTGAGATCCTTCAAAAATCTGTCGACAGAAAATTGGATATTTGTGACTAATCGATAGAAATATCGTAGCCGAATAGTTACTATTGTTGTCTGTGGTGCTTACTAGTGCTGAAATTCCACTGTATCCAGGAAACAATATAATCTTCAGCGTCAAGCTGCAACCAACCCAAGAAGAACAACTACAGTTAGGATTGCGATCAAAAGAAAACGCTCAATGTCCACTAATGATAATTATAAATAATTAGCAGGCGTTTTTATAATTTTAGGTAGATGAATGTAAAAAACTTTGGGTGAACTAAGATGCTCAATCCGAGGGGAACTTTATGGATGGTGTATTCACGATAATAAGGCACAACTAATTCTGACCTATGAGCTCTAATACCAAAATGATGTTTTGTGTGCTATGAAAAGCCTGGTATGCAGCGAAATAGTACAGGAAGTGTTGAAAAACAGAAATGGATACTTTAAAAATGTGGAAAGTGCGCTGAAAATGCCGGCTAGTGTGTGAGTACGAAGTATATGCTGAACTATGAAAAATGACAGTTCACGCCTAACTAATGCTAGTCATTACTGAATATGATCTGAAAGCGTGGCAAAAGGAGTTGAAATAATCCCAGTAGGCAATGGACTAATTTGAGCAGTGAGAAAAATACTTTTACCGCTGAATTGGCTTTAAGTTGGTGCATTAATGCTAGTGGGCGAATAATGCGGGAGAATTTCAAGTATACAATTATGTTTTGGTCAGGACTGTGCTTCCTACTTTCTATAAAATAATCAGATGTAAGGTTCATTTATGGAACTACCATTTATATAGCCGTAATTACGGTGGAGTTCTGTGACACTAACATCGTCTACGGAGATTGGAGATGTGATGAACAAAGTCACAATCTTACTATCAAAATTTGACAGATCATGTCCGCAGGCGAATGAAGAAAAAATGAAGTCAGGTAATGTTACAAAATACATAAACTAAACTTTAAAGATTGTGGTTTAGGCGAAACGTAGTAAAAATAGTTTCTTACTTTTAGGCGCTTAAAAGAAACATCGAAGAAGGAAACGGTGTTAGTTCCCCTTTCTAAATGTTACTGATCAAAATCTCTATGTATTCCTCAACTAATTTTGAATGTTGTTTATTTGCTGGATATTGCCTGTAAACTCTACTTGACTGATTAATAGTCAGACTGTACTCTTTTCAAATAAAACTTTCTAATTAAAAAAGTGATTTCCTAATGTAAATTCAATGAATTTCGAAAGCATTGGGTATAGTAAGTAATAATTAGCACAAGATCATAGACATAACTATGCTGTTAGTCTTCCTCGACGGGCAATGTTAGCTGACATAGGGTCAGGCTAGAAAAGAGCCAGTGGCGGTGAAACCAAAACATGGCACTGGTCAATGAAATCCACAACACTCAGTTTAAGCTACGTTGGGGGTGTAGACTGGCTTCCTGGTTTTGGTCCTCGGGATGGTAAAAACCAATGACTGGAGACAATCAGTGATATGGCTCAAAATCGTTCTCAGTGGCGCAGATGTATCCACTCCTTGTGACTTATAATTTCCAATGAAACTATTATGTTCTTCGTTATTATTATTCCTTTTGTCTCATATCCCTGTCTCCTGTCTCTATTTTGCATTTGTTCTCTTGCTTTGTGTGTTACATGGAGTGTAGCGACTTGAACTGCTGCACATCGGTGCAAAGTTCTATGTTGATAAACAGACAGACAAATACTGTTAGTAGTTAGACGATGTGTCGAGTATGCCAGTTACTTCAGAAAAGCAATAAATGCTGAACTAGCGCTTGAATAGAGCCAGAACAGACCTGGGCAATGCTCACTCAGTGCTTAATTGTTGCTTAAAGAGTTTATATTGAGAGATCTGTCTGTCTGGATTCAACATAGAACTTGGCACCGAAGTGCAGCAGTTCCAGTCGCCACCTTCCAAATAGCACACAGAGGTAGACAAGAAGATGAGTGAAGAGAATCAATACAGTCTGACAAGTATGAGAGTGAAACAGAATGGGTAATGGTAGAAAGGAATATGAAAGATTACAGAGACTGAATACATCTGCGCTGGCCATTGACAACGATTTTGAGCCATGTCACCTATTGTCTCCAGCCATTGATTCCTAGAGTCCCGAGGGCCCCAACCCGGAAGTCTGCATCTCCCTACCCTACCTGACTCAGTTTAACTGTCAAGGATTTCATGGATTGATGTGCCATGTTTTTGTTTGGCCACCACTCACTCTTTTCCAACCTGCAGCTATATCAGCTAGTAATGCCCGTCGGGGAAGGCGATGGTGAGGCATGCGCAGCACGTGACCTAGCCATCTCAGTCTATTTAACTTTATAGCCTCGTCGATTGATTTTCCCTCTCTGCCCAACACTCTACGCCTAACGTCAGCATTAATTACCTTATTAAACCACCTAACGTGAGACAGGATCGCAGACATCTATGATCAAAAACAGTCAACCTTTTCATGTCTTCAACTCATATTGGCCATGTTTCAGAGCCATAGAGAAGGACGGAACGAACTGCTGAGCAGTACACACGTCTCTTGGTTGATAACCGGATGTCACGCCTACGCCAGAGATGGTGTAGGTCAGCGAAAGCAGCTCGAGCTTGAGAGGTACTAGTAAACATCGGATTACTGCGAGTAATGCTTTACAACAAGCACCAAGGGAATATCGCAATTCTTTGTCGTACCATATCCAATATCGTTTTTACGAGCTAGTGTAAACCAATGTTTTTTTGTGCTAGCTTTTTGGTTTTAAGGCAGACGTTCGTCCCACCACCCGACTGTCATAGCTTTGGTTGACTCCAAAAGGAGAGGTGCTGGGATTGACTGTATGTAATTTGTAGCATGCAGTGTATTAAGACTGTGTCACTACTGTGAATGGAAATGATCCTTCCACCCGTTAGTCGTCCAGTGTCGTCAGAAAAAGAAGCCACAATAATAATTATAACAGATACGATTAATGAAAATTATGTAGACTGGAAAAAAAGAAATTAAAAACAGATAGTTAATGAAACTGGTACCTATATGTGTCAATAATAAGTGTAAGGGGTGTAATAGTTGGAGTATTCAGAAGAGTAACACAAGAGAGAATGTGAAGAAGTAAAACAATGAGTTTAGATATCTACCCATTATAAATGTATCAGATTATAAGGAGATGAGCCGTTTGCACGCAGTCCTTGTCTCTGCATGATTGCCTTGTCTTCGCTTAGAGCTGTTCACGGACGGCAAACCAGCACTGAAAAGAAACAGGGACGTATTTGAGTCTTTGCCCTCTGGTGAGCTATCCTTCGTGGATTGCTACAAGGGAGCCCATGCCTACGTAATATCAGAATACTTTTCTTTGGGCGATTCTAGTCATGTATATAAACATGTCACTACTAATAAGGTGATTATTATATCTCCATGAAAATCGATATATACAGGTTTTGATTGACTGTTGGCTAGTTGGCCTCCTATTGGTCTAAAACATTTGTCAAAGCAGGAAGTTTTTTACTTTCACACGGATAGTGACACGCAGAATAGGCAGTGGAATTAAGGACTTACCATATTATAATGGCATGTGAATTTTTTAGTGTTTGAGTGTAGTGTGATGAGTTTCATACTACTTGGATGCATTAGGTGTCTTGAAAGTACATTGAGATGTACAAGATTTTTCACTGGATGAATGCTATTCAACAATAATTATGAGCTATTTAAGTCCCAAAATACGATATATACATTTTTTGCTGACTAGGTGAATATAATTCAACTAGTTTCTAAACATTTCATTATGGGTAAATTTTTGTTTTGATAAAGTATCACAGTGTTATAACAGTAATGTAAACATTACATTACAGTAAACATTACTGTATAACACTGTGACTATCAAAACAAAATTTACCCATAATGGAATTATACTCTACCGCAGTGCACAAGTTTTATTCTTATTTCTAAACATTTATTCTATGTATGCAATGGTGGATGGTGGCTAGCAGTGGAATCCAGGATGCGCATTTCGTCCTATTTGGGACTCGTCAGCTGGATGTACCTGCATCACTCACTGAGAAATGCAGGTACATCCAGCTGACGAGTCCCAAATAGGACGAAATGCGCATCCTGGATTCCACTGCTAGCCACTGTCCACCAATTGTATACTAATTAAATACCCAGACATCGTCGAAGCATCTGCACAAGAAGCCGACATGTCAACCTGAGACCGAGCACTTCGGTCCAATCAATCGACGGGAAAATCAAAAATTCAATTCAATAATTTATTCTATGTCTTTGATAAGGATACATACATATTTTAACTGACGCACATCTTTTTAAGTTGTCAGTTCTGTGACCTATGTGACTTTTGCTTACTAGGCGAATATAATTCAACTGCGATTTACTAGATATAAGGATAAAACTTGGACACTGTGGTAGAGTATTATTCCATTATGGATAAAATTTTATTTTGACCATATGATTATGAGCAATGAATTTCGCTCGAAGCGTCGTCAGTAAATATTACTGTATAACAATGTGTGACTTTATCGAAATAAAACTTTATCCACAATGCAATTTCAATTTACTATGTCACGACAGTGGTATATAACCACTGAAGTATATACTATTATTCATCTGCTAAAAACCATTGTGTTGTGTTCGCTGTGCATTGGTAACCCCATTACATGATGTTACAAAATACTCCTACTGTCTCTACTTCACAAAATGTGCTACCTATGTTGTCCAATGTAACGGGTATATTCCAGAGAATAACGCTTTCGTGTATATTTTATACTTGGGCGCAATTTAAGCAAGCTATTGATAAATTAATGGGGGTAATAACTAACTTGTTCATTATTTCTTTGGAAGAAATCAAACACACCATTCCGGGTTCCTTCAAGTCGTAAAAGGGACACATGCGGTCCTATGAAATACAAGCATGTGAGGTATGAATGCACTTTTGGAAGTTATCGTGCTCCTGGAGGTGCTGGCTTGAGGAACAAAGGGTAATTTGGCTATGCATGTAAATTTTTTTAGGTCCCAAGGTACTTCATGTCAGTCGACATATATAGTACGGCATACAGGTGAAGGATACAAGATACAAAACTGTGCATAACCATCCATGCAAAAAAGGTTTTATTTCCAGAGGTCGGCTGTCATCAGAGTGAATGACAGTTGTGCAGGAGTTTATTGAAGGGAACACTGATGTCCATGAAATAGTGGATTTAGCGCATGCGATTCGGTAAAGTTATCCTATATGATAATATTAGGAATATGCGAGCTGGGATGAATAAACATAAGCCTTATCAAAATAAACGTGACAGTAGAATAGAAATCGGTAGTTTACAAGACCTGCCTCATCGACTGAGACAGACAGGTCCAGTTAGTGTTCTTGACAATGAAAGTTCTGTACCAAAAATCATTTTCGCCTGTAATGATATGATAGACCTCTATCATAAGTTTCCAGTAGTTGAAAATTGTTCTTATAAAACGAATAAGATGGAGTATGTGGTAGTACAAGGTATACTTTCATCTCTAAATTTATTACAGATGGCCTTTATATCAGTTTGTTGCGACCGATGGGTTTGGAAGAGGAAGGACTGTTTAATTTGCTCTTACTAGGAAGGAAAGGTTTTCAGATATCAAGGAGATATTGCAAACGTTTAAGAGAATTGTGAGTGATATATCCAAAACAGTAGCATTCACTGTCGACTGTGCAACTTCACAGATGCTATGAAGGAGAAATTCCCTAGATGCAGCATTGTTTGATGTCTTTTCCATGTATGCTAGGCATTCAGAAAGTCATTTTAGACCTGCGAACGCGGTTTTTCTTCTTTTAGTCAATATCCTCCACCTCAGTTGATTACGCAGAAGGTAGCCACACCTTCGTAAACAGGAATGAGGCTAAGTGCACATGTTGGACATAGTGTGCATATAGTTTGCCATGTGCGCATGTCGTTGCGGCTTTCTTGGATTCAAATATAAACTGTGCTCTATTCCCTTTCCTTAAATGTCACTCGTAGATATTCTGAAAAAACGGCGAGGGATGAGAACGTCAGCATAACATTAAGGACAACATTCCGCATGCCACCCGCCTAACGCTGCAACCAAAGAACGTGTTTCGTAATGCTTATGATCGATAAGATGTCGCCTCGTCAGCTTGAACCGACATACCGATGCTGCACTGCGGGAAATAACAGATTTCACCAAAGAGTTGGATGGTTTGCTATTGAATAAACCGCAAACAACGTTACGAATACGATGTGCCCCTGTTAATCGTTTATTTTTGTGAAAATGTTAGTATTACCTTATTGTTTCCGTATGTGTGCATGATATAAACATGTACTTCTAATTTTCTTTTTATCCGCCAAAGATTACTGGCTCATAGCATATCCTGAGTAACGTTGGCAAATAGGATCGATCACTTATACCGCAGCAACGCTTAAACGCCCAACCTTACAACAGTTCTAAGTTAATTTTAATCTACGGGTCAATGACGTGGTTTTACGGTAAAAGAATATTTTACCTACCTGAAATGACCCCAGTATGTACTGAAATGACCTTGGTCTCCCTTAAAAAGGGGCACTGGACGCTGAATCTTGGCTAAGAGGGCTAAAATAAAGCTGATAAGTTATTTCTCAAAATGCGTAGAAGAAAAACACGGAGCTGAATTGGTGCCAGTCATACTGATGAACCACTGGACGGTTCCAGTTTATGCAAACACTTTAAGAAGTTTCAGAATTTACTCACTATAGAATGTTCTAGTTAGTTCAGAAGTAGCCAGATTATAGTAAACTTAGGAGACTGTAATTAAATCGATTTAATTACAGCTGTGCTATGATCAGTTTACTGACTCAGCTTAGAATACGCGAATTAGCTCAGTGATCGCTGGTTTACCATTATCGCTAACTATCAACTTAATGACTTTGAACTTCAGACTAAAAATAAGCTTTACAGTAGCATCCAGTGACAAATTGACCTCAACACTTTTAAATATGCAAAACGTAGAAAACCTTTGAATTTTAATGGCAAACGAATTCACGAAAACATATGATTAGTCGACGTGGAAACCCATCAAGACCTTGAATTGGTTACAGTGTCTTCTAATCTCCATCTCCTCACCTTGTAACACCACAACAGAAATACGCTCTTCTAATGTTACACCGTTCAATGTCTTCATAACAGCTTACACAGCGTGTTTGTTAAAATTTTGCCTGGTAAATTTTCTTTATGAATAACTTCTGACTAAATTGTGTTACATGTTTTCTAGACCGATAGGAATTATCATTTTCTGACAAGTCATTTTGGTGTCTGCGTCAAAATATCACTATGATGAGCAAGATGGGATAGTTGGAGGGTAATGTCATCTGCAAAAATAGTCTGCTTTACGCAGAAGCTGCACCTTTCGGTATAGTATCATTCAATAAATATTTCACGTCTCATGATATTTTAGTGATAGATAATTCCCCAGAATAATTGGCCACAGCATTCATCACTGAACACTGGATGCTGATACTCACTGTTTAGGTCAATTTGTTTAGCCGAAGGCTTCTGATCAGGCATCTACGCCACTCGACACGCTATCGTGTTGCGTTCGTTTTATCGTGCACGATCCCTAGATAGTTCAGCAATCATCTCGCACTCCAGTTTGGTCCCAGCATATAACTCGTAATGTGGACGATCAATCCTGGTGTTTTTGCTTTGCCTTTGGTCTACGCGTAACGAATACTATAGAAGTTTTGGGTACTAGATCATGTGTTAGTATACTTCGAACTATCCGTGAACGTCAATACCTTTAGCCTCTAAAATATCAGCGCAGCATACTTTTGTGCGAAGAACAGTACTTTTTGACAAAAGAACGCTATCAGTACATGAAAATCACCTATAAATGCTAACAGAACCTTCTGTGGGAACAGAAGTTATCGTTTGGATGTGTCTTTCACCGTATGTGTGTTTCGACAGGAATTATCGTAAGTTGACAGGTTACTTCTAAGTGTATTTAATCCATATTTGCACTGACTAGCAAAGTGCAATGTGGTTTATGTGAATTCGGTGCATAAAAATATCTCAACTTTATTAATATTGTACCCTTGCCTGCTTGGCTAAATGCTAGGCTAACAAATCTAGGTGGTTTTCATAATTGCACCAAGGGCAGTGAAGTGGAGAAGATGATTACTCGTTTCATTTAACTCACTGTTTCAGAGTACAGTATTATTGTTCATATGTTTTGCGTTGATTATGAAAACTGAATCTAGTCAGTTCTATTATTATTATCAATCTACTGTCTGTTATACCATTGCTACTGACACTGCATACTTAGTTCTGAAATATTTTTGATCACCAATAGTGGAGATGAATTACTTCTGAAATTTCCATTTAAAGAAGCAGTACAGATGCAGTACCACAACTGGATTATATATGACATTGGTATCCACATCAACAAAACAGGTCTGTGTATCCTACAATATTTTAAGTTCTTATCTATGCTGTTAACACTGTGCATAGCTGTTTAGAAATGACATATATTCAGCTTATAATGATGGCTGTGGTTTCCTAACTATGGGCATGTAATTTCCGTAGGATTCACAAAACCACGTTCACTAGACATTACTGAGGTTGTGGATTAATTTTCAAGTTATACATTCGCTTCTTTTAATGTAAACGTATTTAATGTGAAGTTGATCTGCAAGTAATCTTGATGAGGGAATGACGCCTCAACAGCATGGATGTTTGCGTATAATCCTCCGATACTGGAAAGTATACGACGTCTATTTATGCATACGGTGTCAATATAGAGACCAGGTGTGGACTACAAACATTTTGTTTGCATGGGGATTTCACTTAGTATTAATAGAGTTAGTGTGTTCATATTTACACTAATTTGTAGAATCATGTTTTATAACCATGTTGTGCCAGTCCTTACATGTGCTTTATATTTTAGGTATATGGAGGTTGTCGAACATGAAATCAGCGGAAATATCAATCGACCAAACTGACGCTAATATCCTTCATCAGAATTTTCTTTGTAAATTAATGAAATACTCAATATACCCTTAATTTCTACTTCCTTCAGACTTCTTCAGTGTGTCGCTATACTCTGGGCTTTTGTAATATGTGAATTCTGATTAATGTATGTTAAGCTTAGTTAGTGGAATGGAGATTCACTATAGTATTAGGAGACTGTTACTTTAGTCATTGATAGGATTTCAGGTCCGTTTCTATACAACAGCACATTGTAAAAACTAAGTAGGATTTAAGTTGAATAATAATTCTGTACTATTCGTTACACTAAAGTCGCTTTATCTAGCTAGTTGCAAGTCTGTATAGTGCTAAACGCCAAGTATGTAGTACAAGTAAATGTAGTAGCTTAGGCTTGACAGCTACTTCACTAATCTGTTAGTATGCAGTGACAACGTCAAATAGACTGTTTACTTGACAATGAGCTAAGAAACAATTTTTATTTATTCCCAATGTGCCGTTGAATCGTGTGATGTTATCTAATATCCATCATTTTTATAATCAACAACTGCATTGATCGCATATCTACTTTGTGGATACTAAATAGCTTACGCCTTTACGTATTTAATTACAACCAGTATTACAACAGTATTCCATACTCATTTGATGTGTGTACAGTGAATAAGTCCTTAATACATTCTCCAACAAATGCCAAACTTTCTAGTGTCACAAGTGTTAATGAAACCTGTTTCCCTGGCTCCAATACAAATGACGTTCTAAAATGTCTCCAGTCGGTGAATCATTCTTGTAGCCTAGAACTAGATGGTTTGCCTGGCGTTATTCTCAAAAAAATGTTCAGATATCCTGTTATCCTCTCATGGATATATGTCAATGGAGTTGAAGATTGAACGATCAATTCATGGTTGTTTGCTCAAAATCAACTTCCCCAATTTTCGCGGAGGCATCAATACGACAGTCATCGTCTCATCGGTCGCTGTTCAGAAAGAAGAGTGAAACATCGTCAGAAGTAATTATGATTTATTATTGTAATATTTGTTCACAGACCTTAGTTCGTTATTCTTTTATATGTTGGTGTAACAATAAAGAAATATCAAGCGGCAGATCGGTGTTTTGGTTTTTCGTCCGTTATTACTAAGCGTTTCTGAAAACTTCAAGAACAGCGTGGCCCGAGCGTAGCGAGAGCTGGGCATTAACGGTTTATGAGACGTGATTGACAGTTTCTGACGATAGAAACAGATCTGGCGGATTCAAACAGTTGGTGAAAGTTTGGATAGTCGCCGTTCATTTTCCTGGTGCCGGTCAAGTCCTCTTTGAACAAGCAATATCTGGAACTTTTTGGAATTGGGTCAAGTTCAACAATGCCTGGGTCAAAGAAGGGACAGAGTGTCTTGGATGCAAACAGGAAAGTAAGTCATGGTGACTTGTCTGTTAATTGTAACGATGTGTCTGATGTTAAGCATGACATGGTTGATGTTACTGTTTCGCCGTTCAGGGATAATAGGAACATCAAACTCCCTAAATTTGAACCACGGTGTTTTGATGGAAACCCGGCTGATTATTTACAATTTGTTAAGGAGTTTGAGATCATGTTGAGTGGTTTTTATTAATGATGAATTGAAGTTGATGTATTTGATGAGATATTGCACTGGAGATGCTGCAAGAGCTATACAGTGCTGTAAGTTTATGAAGCCAAAAGAGGGCTACGATGAGGCTATGAGCATATTACGTCAAAGGTTTGGAAGACCTTCGATGATTGTAAGGAACGTATACGAAGCTGTCAAAGGTAACGGCAGTCAACTTCAAGATGACTCCAAGGCACTTACTGAGTTTTTAGATAATCTTTTGACTTATAAGAATACCTTGATTTCGATGAATTGCATGAGTGACCTCAACTCGAGTTTTATACTAGAAGTAATAGCAAGACGTCTACCTACTCGACTGCAAAGGAAGTGGGTGAAGATAAGCTCCCGTATGGAGGATGAGGGTATCGAGCCAAAATTTGATGATATCCTGAAACTGGTAAATACTAGTGTCAATCAATCTATGAGCAAGTTTTCCAGTCTATTAGATCTCACCCCTAGAATAGAGCAGTCTGAGGTAAAACGCAATCATTGATGACGAATAGGCCTCAGAGAGGTGGATATCGAGAAGGCTCCATGATGTCTAGTAATGCATATAGACCTAGTGAGTGTAACAGGTTTCGTAGTACATCCTCAACAGATAAGTTACAAGATGCAAGACAAACACGGTTGTGTTTACACGTTTGCAAGAGGTGCATACAGAGGTGAACTGTGAACCAGTGAGCAAGTTCAGTGATAAGCTAAATGTAAACTCCAGGCCTGACTCCGAATTGTGTGACGATAACGGTTTGGTCAGGAAGTCTGTAGTTGCAACTGGTAAGCCATTGTTGAATAGAGTGTCACAGAATAGAGTTACTGCTTCAGAGTGCAGTTCTGACTCCAAAGTTTACAAGGTATTACTAGTCAGAGTGAAGTTATAAAACCTTTTATGATTTGCGAGGAGGAACCAAAATTGTCTACTTCTGTTATTAAAGAGTTTGAAAATGATGAAGTTGACGGTAAAGTGAATATTCGTGATAATGATCATGATACTTCACAGTGTCTTTGGTTGATCATGATGAGATGAGGGAATGCCTACTACGCTAAGTTGAACAAAGGTTCTGTACAACTTGAACGTGAAGTAGAAATAAATGCAGATGCAGTTGCAGAAGGCATGCATACTTGTGAGACCGTCAGTGTGATTGATCAGCATGTAGCCCACCTATCATCAGATGCTAGTGCTAAACCTGAGCTGATAGTAAAAGACAGCAGTGGTGGTGGTCTTGCAGGTAGACAAACTTCTGAAAGTCGAGCAACAACAGCTTTTGATCCACCGCTAACTTCATCAACTGATATCAATCAGTCGTCGTTGGTGCTGTCATCCACAATGAAAAGACGCCCATCAACTCAAGTATCTTGTGCAATGACTATGCTAGTATCAGTTCGTTTGAAAGGACGAATATCAATGGTCAGTTTAGTGAGGATAAGCCAAGTGTAAACGAGAGAGTAATTGTTAAATTGACTTGCACGAATAAAGGCATTTCTAGTTTCAAGTTACTATTTGAATGTTATTATCTTTGGTGTAAATTACTCTGTTTCTACGCTTGGTTGACCAGATATGTCGTGTGTTTGTTCGTCATCTATATTCTACGATACAATGACATGGGCGGTTGCCGTTCAGATTTGAGGATATAGCTGATAGAAGGAAGTCAGCAAATGAACTCTGCGACGATT